GAATATTTGGCAAGATGAGTCAGTCATCAAGTCATCACAGTCTGCTCAAACTTTACTGTGCTTTGAATAATTGGGTCCCTAAAGTCTCTGGTAGTCTTTGCTAGCTTCCAATTTACCTGTATGTACAGGACAGCATGGAACAGTTTCTGACCCTGTAATCTTTCCAGTGATTTTTTTTTTTCCAGCCATATCTAGCGCATGAGAATAGTGCTAATCAAAGGTTTCGTCCTGTCCGTATAAACCAGGAGTTACCAGGAGGGCTTGAATGATAACAAGTCTCCAGGCCACTAGGTGGCAGCAACTCATACAGTGGTTTGTACAGATAACAATATATGTTATCTGGTTCTCGACGTAGTATTTCATATCTTTCAATCACTACTTTTAGAGCATTCCATTTTCAGGGGTCACCTCTTGGAAACTGGTTGCATTTTCAGTTACATTTTAAGATTCAGAGGAACACAAATAGTTTCTCCGAAGTCTCAAGGAATTTGATTTAACGAGGAATGGGACAACATTAATTAAGATTAAGATGTCAGTTAACCGTCTCCAGCTATCTTTAGCTCTCTAAAACCTGCCCTATAGGTATCTATGGGTTAATATTTACCTTCATAGCATGTCCAAGGTTGCTGCTGTCTTTCTTTCTTTCTTTCTTTCTTTCTTTCTTTCTTTCTTTCTTTCTTTCTTTCTTTCTTTCTGTCTTTCTTTTTTCTTTCTTTCTTTCTTACTTTTTTCTTTCTTTCTTTCTTTTTAAGCAGGTTGAGGGGAGTGCAGCTATGCCTTGTTTTATACTTTTTCAGTTTCAGTCGAACACGACTTGTGTAAGTCTCTGACACACACCCACATAAATAAGCACAATAAATCATGGCGCAACATTGTTTCAGTGGCAAGGTCATAAATCTAGTCGGGGCAGACATATTCCTGGTTGCACTAAAATAAACAGGCAGTAATCCATTTGTTTTTATAGCATGTGCTTCTTTGGTCTCACAAAGGTGCGGTTTCTTTGTCAGTCAAGGACCTGATATTCCGTTGGTCTCTTTGAGCTCACACTAACTACACTCAGAATTAGGAAAGGATAGAATGCATTTACAGAGAAACAAAAAAAAAAAAACCAACTCATTGACGTTAAAAATCTCTTCTCTCGGGTATGATGACATTTTTCTGGCAATCCCGTATCCAATGGTGACAGGGACTAAAACCAGGGGTGCAGATGGGATTTTTGAACTGGGGGACCAAACTATATGCCGGTATTAATATAATTTCCAGTCTATAAGCCGCTACCTTTGTTCACCCTGCGGCTCAACCAACGATGCAGCTAATTAGTGGATTTTAGGGGCTAACGAAATTCTTACCACTAGCAATCAATGACTTTTCTTGTAGGTTTGAGCCCCGTCACGTTGAAGCGTGAGTTGGTTATACAGGAGCTGTTTATGCGCTGTTGGGCTTGGCGTGGCTCATAACAAACACCCCAACTACCCTGTTTCTGTTTCTATGCTGTGAACAAGCACAAAATGTAGGGAGTTAGCCCCCAAGCTAATGTTAGCTTCGGCCCTGGAACAGATCACTACGTCTCCCTTTTGCATTCCAACTACAGTCTGGACGCTGACTGTATTTGTTTTTCTTCAAAAATGGCTGCGGCTTATATTCAGGTGTGTTCAATAGTCCAGAAATTACGGTAATAACCGTAATATTAATAACATGCTCGAGTCACATGACTTGGACTCAAGTCAGACTCGAGTCATCAATTTGATGACTTTAGACTCGACAAAATGTAAAGAGACTTGCAACTCGACTTGGACTTTAACATCAATGACTCGTGACTTCACTTGGACTCGAGCCCCTTTGACTCGACAAGACTTGATACTTTCTCCAAAACCCAAAGTGATCTGTGTGAATATATTATTATTTTGTTTAAAATGACTCGAAACAGAAACGTAAGGACTTGGGACTTGACTTGACACTTTTTTAGTCTTGACTTGGACTCGACTCGGACTTTGCCTGTCTTGACTTGAGACTTGACTCGGACTTGGGTGCAAAGACTTGAGACTTACTTATGAATATGGTTTCTCATGACCCCCTCCCCCCCCCCCGCCCCCTTGTTCCCCAGTCCCTAGTGTCATCTGTGCCCATGACTGGAACAGCAGGGAGCTGATCTTTGTCTGTGCCTCGTGTTGTTTGAGAAAGCTAAGTCTACATTTTCTTGCCTTTCAGGTATTTGCGGTATTTGTTGGACATTTCTTAACAAAAAAAAAAAAAACCCTGATTTGATAGTAGATGTGGCGCAACAGTGTTAAGAAATATTTTGAAATGTCCTACATTTGGATTTCTACATTATTCATCGCAATAATTTATTTGTTGTTAGAACTTTTTTTTTTTTTTACCAGTATTTACAGGCAAAGTGAAATGATGAAATACTGCAAATACCTGTTGGACAAACAAGAAGGGAGGGAAGATCTAATCAATGTAAATATTTCTCTTGGGCTACAGCTACAGTATTAGCTTAGGTTTTTGAATATCTTAGTGTATTTTTTTCTTTATATTGATACATTTATTTATTCGTACCTAATCACGTTTGGATGCATAAAATGTCAAATGTCTTTTCTGTTAAAACCTTTAAAAAAACTTTATTTAAAAACTTGTTTATTACAGACATTTTAAACGGTTTTTACACACCTTGAACTTGTCTATTTTATACTACCATTGGCAACTTTGGCTAGTTGGCAGGAGTGAGATTTTGTGCGCGGGAAGGGGTGGGGAGCACTGCTGGTTCGGGCAGGTCAATCGGGCGACAGCAAAAACGAGAATGAGAAATTAAAAAAAAATGGCCGGTCAGATATTCATTTTACACCACCATCAACCAATCACTTTTTAACATTTCCAGCATTGGACAACATGTAGTGTGACATTTCATTCATTCCTTTCATCCGCGATGACAAACGTGAACACAACACTGCGATGTTACTTTTAATATTGAAGCGGACACACCTGTATTACTGTCAATGTAATGTGAACTATTCCCTCTGTCCCTGTGAACATTAGGCAACTTGTCAAAGACCTGCACCAAGGATGGATGGACCCCCTTCAGTATAGATTCCTACATAATGGACTGCGGATACAATCCCAACAGCACCTTCGATGACAATACAGTCAGTATTGGTTTAAAACCTCCTAAGCCTCAGGCTGCTGCTAATGATGCTGCTCTTCAATAGGGACAGGACAGGCATGGCTTTTTAAACCGGCCCGCCGAACCTTTCCAAATTATATCATTTGATTATATTATCATTATACTTCTGCCTTTTTCCTGCAATACCCACATTTCCCCAATAGATGGCTAGAAAATGATAAAAAAAAAACATTTTAGCATTTATGCATGACTTTTTAAAATTTGATCGGACCCTCGATCAAAAATCCTCGATGATGTTTGCACACAAATCTTCAACATTTATGTTTAACACGCATTCTAAGTTTTTTTGCAATGGGATCGCACATACAGCGATGATGTTTGCACACAAATCTTGAACATTTATGTTTAACACGCATTCTAAGGCTAATCATTAATGGACTCAAATTCAATTTCACTTAATGGGGACTACCGTAAAACTACAACTTAGGTTTATAATAAAGCCTTTTTAAGCCATAGGAAAACAAATTGTTGTAATGTATCAAAAAAAAGGGAAAAATCACTTTCTACCTAATATACTTAATACAACAACGCGAGAAGGAACTGAATCCAGCTTTTACAGCGATCGCTTACTTCAATAGAAAAAAACTGTTTTCTGCTATCCAGTAGACAATCTGTCATTTTAGCACTATTTACACTGTTTCAATAAACAAAAAATAACACTCACTATGTTGTCTCAACAAGCCTCAACAGAAAAGTAATTTGTTGACGTTGTGAGGTGTAAACACCTAATTTATCCTCCGTGACTTAACCTCAGAATAAACCAAACACCAGTATACGTATGCTAATGACTAGCATATTCTGGTGTTTTGTGAAATTGCTCGTATCGTAACGGTACAAATCTTACAGTAAGCCTTTCTCCCGTCCTGTATATGGGTGCATCTCCATTACTACTAAACCACTTACAAGTTTGGTTCCATAGTGTAGCGGTTGGCACACCTTCCTCGGAAGCAGAGAGAGTCCTGGGTTCCATTCCCAGAGGAAGCACGTGCTAGCTTGCTAGCCTGTTAGCAGCATGTCTGCTGCTAACACAACAATTTCCCAAATATGGGGATTAATATAGTATAAATTTGTTTATTTTTATATTGACTCTTTTTAAAGAATACAATACAACATGTACAATTTTGCAGGTGGTTATACTTTCATCTTTGTCTTTGTCTAAAAAAAAATTATCACAATGCTAACTTTTCACTAAACTGTTTAGGTATAGCAAAACCCGTCAAGTCAAGTGTCTTAGCTATTTTTGCATTTTCTTTTTGTTTTACTGAAATTCACTGTCATTTGACCACATATTTGTAGTTTTTCGCTCAGTTGTCTGCTTTATTTTCCATGACAGATATCAGTTAATATTGTATCAGTCATATAATATAATCTAAACCTGTGATTTTTCTAACGGTGTGAGAATGGTCCGTTGATTGACAAAGTCGTTGCAAACTGTTTCCGTAAATATTGTTTTTTTGTTTTTCCCCGCAGGGAGAATTCTTCTTCGCTATTAAAGTCGGTTACACCATCGGTCACAGCGTGTCGCTCATTTCACTTAGCGTCGCCATCGTTACCCTCTGTCTCTTCAGGTAAGAAGGTGCATAAAATATCGTCCTGCGTTGAGCCAATAAAACATCTCCTGTCATTTAAGGCAATATAACCCTGCTGATTCCTCATTTCACACAGCACTTCCTCACTTTTATAGGGTTTTCTTTGTCGTTTTTCACACAGTCACTGACAGCTTTGACACTATCGACCGCTGTGACATTTGTCAGCCGCAATAAAGCCATGTCGTATAGAGGAGCGGATGCTGTTTATAGAGAGAACATAATGTTGTCTTTCTCCTATATGCAAAATCAGGATTATTTCAATGAAACGTCAAAAAAAAAAAAAAAATCCAAAATTGGATCAAGATTGTTGAACAGTACTGATTATTTCTTTTCATATAGACTGTTAGACATAGAGGCGTAGCTGGTAGCTTTGTTTACCTGGAGAAGATCGAACACAGCTATTGTGTCCCTGCCGATTGGCTCGTGCATCGTAGCATCTCTCAGCATCTCCCCTTGTCTGCGCCGTTATACTTATAGGATTTGATTTATTTACGCAATATGTATGTCTTATATTTACATTATGCAACTCTACTGTGCATATAATTGTGTGGGAAAGGGTAATGCAGTCTAGAAAGTTCTTAAAGGGTAAATATGGACCCTTTACGAACTGGTAAATTTATACATATATATATGTATATATATTTACATATATATATATATTTACATTGGCCTCTGGGCCAAAGCGCCACTAAAACATATCTAATATGTTCATATACTCAGGACCAGGCGACCGTACATAGAGAGGTGAGCGTACCATTTTTAGGTGATATGCCGTGTTTGCAGTCGAGCTCTGATATCCAAACTGTTGCTTGTGAACTTTTTCATTCGCCTTATTTCCTGTTATCTATTTTTTATAAAATGCTGCCACACTGTAAATGTCATTCACGTGGTAGAAGAGACTGAAACTGTAAACGAAACACTCAAAATGAAATACTAGCTAGGCTCCCTAACACGATATACAAATCGTTCTATGCGTTGGGCTAATCCAAAATAGTGAAAACAGGAGGGGTGTTCTGAAGATTTTTACCTCTGAAATAGGGTGCAGCCCATTAGCCCCACTTCCGCCCATTGGTACCTTCCGCCTGATGAAATGAACACAAAAAATATATATAAAAAAAATTAAAAAATTTTTGGACGAGCCAGAACGTATTAACCAGGAAATTGTATTTTATTCTGTAAGACGAATGCTGATCTTTTCTCCTCCGTTTTGGTGTCAATCATTAACAGTTGCCGTTATTTTACATCGCAGGAAGCTGCACTGCACCAGAAACTACATTCACATTCATCTGTTTGTGTCCCTCATCCTTAAAGCGGTGGCTGTTTTCATTAAGGATGTGGTCCTGTACGACGTTGGTGAAACAGAAAATTGCCAGGGATCGGTGAGTAAAGTCAGCCCTTTGCCGTCTCTGTGTTTCCGTAATTTATTGTCCTGCAATAGAGTTTATTGAAAATTTTTTCCCCACCATCTATTCGGATCCCCTGAACTCGTTGTGAGTGTACTTGATCAGTGTTATAACGCTCATTACTTGGATGTGGGATTAAAGCAGCGCACACGAGAAATTCTGTGAGATTCCTAACAAAGTCCCTCAAATGATAATAATACAGAAGGTGGGCTATTCTATTCTGACTTTCTATGTGACTGTAAGTTGATTTTATTTCTCTGCTAGACATATAAGTCGATTGTATTTCTCTGCTAGACATTTGAGAATGAGTTATTTTGACAATTATTAATAATTATAATAATGTATTATTTATTTATTATTAATTGATGCAATCGTAGTGCCTTGATTTTTATTAAGTTTTAGTACACAGTCATGGCACTAAATGCAATTAATAATCAATGCTAATAATTGGCAAAATGATTTCTTTCTGTGTCGATTTTCAGGCCTTTTTTTTTTTTTCTTATTTTATTTTATTTTATTTTTTCTTAGTTTTTGGTGGCTGAATATTCGGTGCATTCCTAGTATATCTACGTATATCACAGCATTCAAAATGAGAAATACAAAAATGCAAAAGAGAATACGAAAGATATGTAGATATATATATATATTTTTCGAACGCAATCTTGAAACGAAATCTTAATCTGCGATAGACGAGGGACCACTGTAGATTCTGTTTCAAGCACAGCGTAAAATTAAAAAAAGCATAAGAAGCATAAATTGGTAGTCGTAGTCTCTTTAATTATGCACCACTGATGTTGCAGATTATTTCATTTATTTGAATATAGAAGTGAAATGGTTTGATCTCTTTCAGAATTCAAGACCGATTCATGTACAAGTTTGAAATTTTCAAGCGCAGGTCAGAATTATTTACTGTATGAGCACTTCAAGGTTTTTGGGCAAATTCTGTATAAGAATACATAGGAAGTAGAAAAGAATTTGCACAAAAAGATAATATAAAATAATGTCAAACTAACACAAAGTTAGCAAACAAATATAATACATAAAGACTTCAAAGAGCCTGAAATATCTAGCAAGAGAAATATATTTAAATACAGTGAAACTCCAGCATAATCCATTCCAGGGCCGAGCTCGTAACTCGAGGTGTTTGTATCTTGAATCATGTTTTCCCATAAGAAATAACAGAAAAAAAAAATTAATCCCGCCTTCTAAAAAAAACTCCCTTATTAGTGCTAATAACAATGGCAAAAAATATGTTTTTAATTGCTATAGAGACACACAAAAAAAAATGATATAAGGATTTCTGTGATATAAAATAAAATGCGTCGGTGTCTGTAAGCGTGTTCGTATCTCGAGTCTTTACTCGTATCTCAAAGCAAAAATTGGCAAGGTTGGTGGTTCAAGCCCACCGAGGGATGTCTTTACACTGAGGCTGACCTCATTGTTGTGCTCATTATAATCTTGTGGGGCAGTAATGGCTTGGTGGTTAAGCAAGCGTACGTGGAGCGTCCGAAAGGTTTCAGGTTTGGGTCCACCAGCGGCCAAGTTCCTCCTCTGCTCATGTCCAAACCATCTCAATCTGGCTTCTCTAGGTTTTTCTCCAAACCTTCCTGTCTGTGTTGTCCCTCTAATGACCTCATTCCTGACCCTGTCCATTCTTGTCACTCCTAAAGAGAATCTTAGCATCTTTAACTCTGCCACCTCCAGCTCCTCCTCCTGTCTTCTGCCTATTGCTACTGTCTCTAAACCATACATCATGGCTGGTCTCACCACTGTCCTGTAAACCTTTCCCTTCACCTTAGCTGACACTCTTCTGTCACAGATCACTCCTGACACTTTTCTCCAGCTGTTCCATCCTGCCTGTACTCTATTCTTCACCTCTCTTCCACAGTCTCCGCTGCTCTGAACAGTTGATCCTAAGTACCTAAACTCCTGCACCTTCACCACCTCTGCTCCTTGTAGCCTCACTATTTCACTGTTCTGCCTTTCGTTTACACACATGTACTCTGTCTTGCTGCGACTGACCTTCATTCCTCTTCTTTCTAGTGCAAACCTCCACCTCTCTAGGTTCTCTTCTAGCTGCTGCCTACTCTCACTACAGATCACAATGTCATCTGCAAACATCATAGTCCATGGGGACTCCTGTCTGACCTCATCTGTCAATCTGTCCATCACCACAGCAAACAAGAAGGGGCTCAGGGCCGATCCTTGATGTAGTCCCACCTCCACTTTGAAGTCTTCTGTCCTCCCAACAGCGCACCTCACTACTGTTGTACTATTCTCATACATGTCCTGCACCAAACTAACATACTTCTCTGCCACTCCTGACTTCCTCATACAAAACCACAATTCCTCCCTTGGCACTTTGTCATATGCCTTTTCTAGATCTACAAATACACAATGCAGCTCCTTCTGACCTTCCCTGTACTTCTCCATCAACATCCTCAAGGCAAATATTGCATCTGTGGTACTCTTCCTAGGCATGAAACCATACTGTTGTTCACAAATCTCCACTTCCTGCCTCAACCTAGCTTCAACTACTCTTTCCTAAATCTTCATTGTATGGCTCATCAACTTTATCCCTCTGTAGTTGTTACAACTCTGTGCATCACCCTTCTTATGAATTGGCACCAGAACACTTTTTCTCCACTCATCAGGCATCTTGCCAGTCTCTAAAATTCTGTTAAACAAACCAGTCAGGAAATTTACTGCCACTTCTCCTAAACACTTCCATACTTCCACTGGTATGTCATCAGGACCAACTGACTTTCCACTCTTCATCCTCTTCAGGGCTTTTCTAACTTCATCCTTTCTAACCTGATCTACCTTCTTCCTACTAGTCTCTGGCTCCTCGTTTCTACTTTCCCTTTCATTTTCCTCATTTAACAACTCCTCAAAGTATTCCTTCCATCTTCTCAGCACACTTTCCTCACTTGTGATCACATTCCCCTCTCTGTCCTTAATCAACCTCACCTGCTGCACATCCTTCCCAGCTTGATTTCTCTGTCTCGCCAATCTATACAACTCCTTTTCTCCTTCCTTTGTTTCCAAACTCTCATACAACTCCTCATATGCCTTTTGTTTGGCCTTGGCCACTTCCCTCTTCACCTCCCTTGTCCTCTCTTTGTACTCCAGTCTGTTCTCTTCTGTTCTGTCACTGTCCCATCTCTTCTTCGCTAATCTCTTTCTCTGCACACTCTCCTGGATCTCCTCATTCCACCACCAGGTCTCTTTGTCCTCCTTTCTCTGCCCAGAGGACATACCTAGCACCTTCCTACCTGTCTCCCTCATCACTGCAGCTGTAGTCTCCCAATCATCTGGGAATATCTCAACACTACCCAGAACTGCCCTTACTTCCTTCCTGAAGTCTTCACAACATGTCTCTTTCCTTAGTTTCCACCACTTGATCTTCTGCTCTGTCTTCACTCTCTTCCTTTTTGTCACCTCCATCGTCATTTTACACACTACCATCCGATGTTGTTTGGCTACACTCTCACCTGCCACCACCTTACAGTCTCTAATCTCCCTCAGATTACATCTTCTACATAGAATATAATCTATCTGTGTGGACCTGCCTCCACTCTTGTAAGTCACCCTATGTTCCTCTTTCTTTTGGAAATATGTGTTTACCACAGCCATTTCCATTCTCTTTGCAAAATCTACCACTGCCTGTCCTTCTACGTTTCTCTCCCTAACACCAAACCTGCCTATCACTTCCTCATCTCCTCTGTTCCCTTCCCCTACATGACCATTTAGGTCTGCTCCAATCACCACTCTCTCTCTCCTGGGGATACTCTCTACCATCCAATCTAGCTCCTTCCAGAACTTCTCCTTTTCTTCCAACTCACAGCCCACCTGTGGGGCATAACCACTAACAACATTAATCATCTCTCCTTCTACTTCTACCTTCACACACATCAACCTGTCTGACTCTCTTTTCACCTCTACCACATTTCTTACATATTCTTCCTTTAGGATCACCCCTACTCCATTTCTCTTCCCATCTGAACCATGATAAAACAGTTTGTAGCCTCCTCCAATGTTTCTAGCCTTACTGCCCTTCCACCTGGTCTCCTGCACACACAAAATATCTACTCTTCTTCTCTCCATCACATCAGCTATTTCTCTACTTTTCCCTGTCATTGTACCTACATTCAAAGTTCCAAACTTCAGACTAACACTTCTATTCTTCATCTTTTCTCTTTTTCTCCTAACCAAACGCCCTCGAATGTGTGCTGTAATCAAAGCTAAAGGTGGTCCAACGACGAGTGTATGACCCTTTTTTTTGGCCAGGCAGTGTATTATTGACAGTTTTTTCTGTAGATATAGGTATATCTGGACTATCATTGGACACGCTTTAAAGCGTCTGTGTAGGTTCTAATTCATCTTCGACATGACTTTGACTTTGATGTTTTGTTTTTTTTTCTTGTAGGTGGGCTGTAAGGCAGTGGTGGTCTTCTTCCAGTACGGCATCATGGCCAGTTACTTCTGGCTTTTGGTAGAGGGCCTCTATCTCTACACTCTTTTGGTTGTCTCCTTCTTCTCTGAGAAAAAGTACTTCTGGTGGTACATCCTGATTGGATGGGGTACGTTGCATCATATCTTTATGCATGCAGAGCAGTTTTTATTGGAGGATCTTCAGTGTTTGATGTCTGGAGCAATAGCTTAGCTCCGACATGATGACGTAACCAGAGGTAACCCGAGGATGGGCACATGTCTCTCCCCCCCCCAATTTTTTTTTCTTATATTTTTTTGCACACTTGTTTGCGCCCATGTAAACAGCGCCAGAGCGATCTTTTCTAATATTAATATCTACTGCAGCTACAACTGGCAATACCAAACCAAATGTCTGTTTTCAGGATTGATACTTGTAATTAAGTGTCAATACTATCACCTGGGGCAGTGATGGCTTGGCGGTGGTTGGTTCGGAGGGTTGAGGACACCAGCTTGTGTCACAATGACAAATAATTCACGTTTACTTTCACTTTTACCTGTCTGTATTACCGTAATTTCTATTCATATTAATGCACCTGAATATAGGCCACTAAATTTAAAAAGAAAAAAATAATTCTACATATATCGGCAGCTTATAGACCGGAAATTACGGTAATTTGGGATCAAAATAATTTGGTATCAAATTGTTTTCAGCACAGTTAAACAGTTTGTGGTTTCTGTTTGGTACAATGTTTTTTCAATACACAAAAAAAAAGGGACATTTCCAAATTGTAGTTTATTGAAGTTACCAGTGTTTGTTTCAACTCAAAAGTAAAGTTTTTTTTATTTAAATTGAAATATATCTGTTGCACTGCTGCCTCAAATTCTGCAGTGCATATTTAGAAGTCAGAATCATATAAAAGAAAAACAGCACCTTGTCAAAAATAATGATAAAATCGATGCATCTAATGAACCATCCGTTTTCTGTGGTGCGAGTGTATATTAAAAAGAAACCGCTCATTAAATTAACAAACGCTAGCTTATTCCGTAATAATAAATAGAGATATAAAAACATAATTCTCAATTATTTTTAAGATGGGATATTTATATGTACAGTATATACATGGGCTTAACACAGTGTGCAAAAAAAGGGAAAAAAATTGTATGAGACTGATCATAAAACCGGGTCTTACAGTTAGCTTTCTATTCTACTCAGCATTAAAAAAAATCATATAAATCAGATTTCATTATATATATATATATATATAAAACCGTTTTAGGGTGTTTTGTCCTGACCTGTGTTTTTTAGGAGTTCCTACTATCTTCATCGCCGCCTGGGTGATTACCAAGACCTTATCAAATGATCCTGGGTAAGTTACTCATCTGTTTTGGCTTAAGTCTTGTTTATAAAAAAAAAGCATGAATGGGATGCGTATGAGCTTCACACAAGGTTAGATGTACAGCGTAATGCAAAAGAAAATGTTCATTTACTTCAAAGAGTAACTTCTAGGGTTCCAAAGATTCCAATCTCGCGAAATCTTCGCTATATTTCGGTATTTTACGGTAAATATAGTTTTTTTATGTTTTCATTATTTTGTGATAAAAAACATTTTCTAACCTAACCTAAAAGAATTAAAACAGCTAAAAATACAGTTAAATATAGAGAAAATTAACAAAAAGACGTTGCGAGGAGATCGAACACAGCATTGGTAATACAGGGTGGGGGAGCTTCGTAAAGGGGTAAATATATACATAAATAATACAATACCTATCTCGCCTATACTTTACAGATTCTCCCTTTTCGCGATTGGTCTCGGAACGCAACTACTGTGATGGGAGAGGGATCACTGTATTTGCTTTGGACAGTCTTTGTCGTATCTTCAACAAATGTCCCGACATTCACCGTCAATATATCGCTTCCTGCTTTGCAGGTGTCACAATATTCGTATATGTACATGTTGCTTTGATACATGTCATTTGACGCAATGTATGCCTTTTCAAAGTCACATTTACCATCCAAATGTTGTCTGGTCAACCAGAGATTTTGTTATTATCGAAAGTACCGTAATTACCGACTTATACTCTGCAGTGACTTAATATCTCTCACAAGATAAAGAAGTAAAAGCTGCAACTACAGAAACTAAAAAAATAACCTTCTCGCCTCTCCTCACAGATGTTGGGAGACAATTGACGACAGCTCGTGGTGGATCGTCAAAACTCCTATTTTAGCGACTATACTTGTAAGTGACAGCAGCGGCCTTCGTGAAGAGCGTTCTTGTTTACAGCTGAGTGTTAACTGTAGCGGCAGCATCAAGATGTCAATTTCTCTCTGGGCAGGTGAATTTTTTCCTTTTCACTTTTATCATCCGGATTTTGCTACAGAAGATGAACAGTCCAGACATTGGCAGAAAGGAATCCAATCAATACTTGTAGGTCCACTTTCCATGTAAGAAGTAGACATAGCCATCCAGTTGAGAACTATGGTTTCAAATGAAAGCTTTGCAGGTAGATAAAAGTGCTCACCTCAGATTTTCCAAAGTAACTTTGCACAGGGCTCGGATTGGGGCTTAGCATCTTACCAAGGATTGAGATCTCCGTGTCTTGTCTGACTTGTCTGAGTGGAATGTCAGCAGTAGTGATGGATAAAAAGGTGTAGGCTCAGTTTTCTAAATTGAAAAAAAAAAAATCAGTTTTTCGGCCGGGCCGGGTCAGGAGCAGATAGATGGAGCGTTCGTGCGAACTAAGATAAATGTAAAAGTCATGCATAAAGGCTAAAATGCAAAAATGCTTTTATCATTTTCTACGCCATCTATTAAGGAAATGGGTGGGTATTGCAGAAGTACAATAATATTATTATAAATAAATGATATAATTTGGAAAAGTTTGGCAGGCCGGATTAAAAAGCTAAATGGGCCGCATCCAGCATGGTTTAGACCAGGCGTGGGCAAACTTTTTGACTGGCGGGCCACAACTGTCCTAAAATTGAACAGGCGGGCCGGGTCAGCAGCAGATAGATGGAGCGTTGGTCTGAACTAAGATAAATGACATGTAAAACTCAGGCAAAAAGGCTAAAATGCTACGATGCTTTTATAATTTTCTACTCCTTCTATTGGGGAAACGTGGGTATTGCAGGGAAAAGGCGGAACTATAATGATAATATAAATAAATTATATCATTTTGAAAAGTTTGGCGGGCCGGATTCAAAAGCTAAACGGGCGACATCTGGACCCCCGGGCCTTAGTTTGCCCATGCCTGGTTTAGACCATGATATGATCCTACCACAAGTGTCAGTTCGATCACAGAACATAGAGAGGTGATGCGCTTGCAAAGATTTATGTTTTTACCCGGGCAGCGTCAAATGCACCAGTGCGACCTCCATAAATTAGTAATTGTACTGTTAAAAATGTTGGTCACATGTTAGACCATCCATCCATCCATCCATCCATCCATTTTCATCCACGTATCCGTTAGCGGGTCACGGGGGCAGCACCGCCACCCAAATCACAATGCACCGTACCAACCCCCCTAAACCTTCCTGCGGGTGGTGAGTCCACTGAAAGGTATTAACCGCCCTAATCGGGATTCGAACTTGCCCAGGAGGTGAACCCTGGGATTCCACACCAATGACAGAGACATTGCCTCTGGGCCAAAGCGCCACCACCATTGTCCCATCATGGTAAATTTTGTTTATTTTTTTTGATTAGTTCTCCAACACCAGGGTACTTCCAGCCCAGTACTTGGGCTTCACTTTTGGCAACCAGATGGCTATGTCCATGTATTATTTACAGTCAATGTTCAACTTTTTTTTTAATAATTGTATTGGAAAAAGATTATAATGTAACCTTTCTTTTTTTACTTTTCATGGCTTATTTCAGAAGACTGGCTAAATCCACGCTCTTGTTGATACCTCTTTTTGGGATCAACTACATCATTTTCGCCTTTATTCCTGACCACATACATCCTCACATCAGGATGGTGTTCGACCTTATCCTGGGGTCATTTCAGGTAATATTGCCTAGCAGCTCACAAACTAGGTGTTGAACTTTTAGTTCATCACAAGTGTCACACTGAAATGGACCGCAAGGCCTGACCTATCTAATATTTCTTGATGTTCTCTTCTTGTAGCGAGACTGAGGGAATGTAGTGATGCCACTTTACAGTCAAAAAAAAAAAAATCACCCAAAAAAAAATCAGGTTGTCCATACATATACTGTATAAATGCAAATGTATGGTTTTGCCAATATTTACATTTTTGATAAGTCAAATACAAGTACCATATTTTCTGGACTATAAGTCGCACCTTTTTTTATCTCTTTTGGCTGGGTTTGCGACCAATACTCAGGTGTAACTTATATATTAAAAAAAAAATTTCACCTTTGGTATTTTCACACTGATAGCCGCTAGAGGGCACTCTAGGCTTGTGTACCAGTATCTTCTACTCCTGTGCAACTGAAAATGTACACGTTCGTTATTTTCACACCAACAGCCACTAGAGGGCACTCTAGCTAGCTAGCTGGTTCGACTTATACTCCGGAACGCAAATATGGTACAGAAAACACAGATGGAATAATGCGGCGCCTGTGTAAGGCCTAAACTTATCGTAAATTTCTTGTCATCATCCTTTTACAAATCACAAACGTTTTTCCATGTTGTTTTTTAACAACAATGACAATACTAATGGCAATAACATCATATATTTATTTGCTTATCCCACCGACAGGGCTTTGTTGTTGCGGTTTTGTACTGCTTTCTGAATGGAGAGGTGGGTAAAATAAAACATCGTGTTTACTGACCCTTTTAAATTTCATTTAACATTACCCCGAGCCTCCTTATCCTAATTATCCAACACTTGTCTTTTTTTTTGGTAGGTGCAGATAGAAATTAGGCGTAAATGGCGCAGGTGGATGCTGCAGAGATTCCTGGGCACTGACTCTAAACACCAGCACCCCTCTACAGGCAGCAATGGGAACAACTTGAGCACCCACATAACTATGCTGACCAAAAGCAGCCCTTCGATGCAACGTACTTCTGCATATCAGGTGCATTACTCTGCCATCTGAAGCTCAACTTTATGGACTTTTTCTATTTATTTTTTATTTTTTCTTTATTTACCATAAAGGTGACGGGTGTTTGAAAGGTGTGACCAAAAGTGGTGGCGGGTGTTTGAAAGGTGTGACCAAAAGTCAACACGCTATGGTTCTGAGGCAAATGTTTGTTCAGTGTAATTTGATCCCCGCTGCCTGTCACATAGCATCAGGTACAAGGCAGGAAGAAAACCATGAACTTATCAGTACTAAGTCTGTTTGCTTAGTTTACCGATGCTGCAATAAACTAAGGGAGTTCTGTTAGCTTGACTGATTTAAAAAAAAAGTTGCAAATCAAAGACAAGCACCGATGTAAATCAACATAAAAGAAATGGTGGTCTTGGACCCCAGCATGTTATTATGAAAAGGGTTTAAAATACTGCATTTACTGTATTTTCCAGACTTTCCTGAGTCACCAGCCAAAAATATATATATTATAAAAATATATATTCAAATACTAGGCTATGGGCTGCAGAATTTGTGGGCTGCTTCTGTGCATCCTTAGACTCGCCCGCGATTATTTTTATGTTTGGCCCATAGAATTTACATTGGGATAATATTTGTATGAGGTCATTGTTGCGAACTTCTTTTAAGACAAAAGTTATTCAACCTAAAACGACTCTTTGGCTATGCGTCTTTTTGTTTCAAACCAGTGGTTTGTGAAACAACTGGAATACAGCAAAGTAAGAGGACATATCCATAAAACTTCTACTAAAAGTTCAACATCCCATTGTACTGATATGTGTATAAAGATCTTTAAAATGTCGATACCATATTTTAAATATCACAAACAGCCAATACATGTAAATAGATTATAGTGACTTGTTTGCATTTGCACTGTTGTAGGTCAATGTTTTGAACTCAACATGTTTGCAGATGATGATGAACTGTTGTGTTTTTTTTTTATAAATATTTATAGATGAAATTGACATCTAGTCAATATATATTTATTCATATCCACACAAAGAAAAACAATCAATATAACAAACAGATGTACATGTCACAGGATCTGGACAAACAGAAATGTCTTCTGTTTCCTATAGACCACGTGTCTAACTCAAGGCCCGGGGGCCAAATGCGGCCCGCGAAGCCGATTTGTGTGGCCCGCAGGAGCCTAAAAACCATTTAGTAAAGTCCGTGCAGCAGAGTTACTTAACCTAAAAAATTCAAAAAAAAAAAAATTACACAGCAACGAACAATATTTGTAGCTTGAATAAATAATAATCAGTTGCAGAAACATGCATTAGACACAGTTATGTAGTAGTTATAGCTATACCAGCAGTCCCCAACTTTTTAGTTCCAATGACTGGTCAAAGTAAATGGATATGACAGGATTTACTTTGAATTAAGTAAATTGGTAAAAAAATTAAGTACATTTTTTTCATTGTGTCCCACAGCAGCCTGGTACCAAATGACCTATGGACTAGCACTGGTCCGCGAACCGGCGGCTGGGGACCCCTGATCTATACAGTATTCCAATTACAACCAGCCCTTCAAGGGGAACTGTATTGCTGATGTGGCCCCCTGGTGAAAATGAGTGAATTGACACCCCCTGCTTTAGACCTATGCGAGCACGTCACTGTCTCCCTCTGATGTATGTTGTGAGACAAATAAAAAAAATTAAAAAAAACAAATCAAATCAAATAAAATCTTCTCAGACATTATTTTATAATGAGTACGATTACAATAAAGTCAAAATTATAGTTTATTAGGCTGGAGGAGCACACGGTAACGATGGTTATAACTTGGTGAGACGCAAAACGTTGAGGCGAACTGGAAGGACAGTGGATCCCTCAGCGTAGGTGATCTCCCGCAAAATCCCATTCCAACTCTGCTCTTCCTCATCGTACCTGTAACAAAAATAAGTTTGTTTAAAGAAATGTGATTTTTTTTTTTTTTTTTGAGCGTACAAAACGATCATTTCAAATTTTTGGATTTAGGTTTTTTTTTTTGTCGGGGGAAATTTGTAACGTGACTTTAGAGAATTACAGTTTTTCTATTCAGTGACAGAACATCAGCTGGGTGGCGCTGTGGCCCAGAGGCATTGTCTCTGTCATTGGTGTGAAATAAGTTCACCTCCTGGGCAAGTTCGAATCCCAATTAGGGCGTTTGGTACCTTCCAGTGGACTCACCGCCCGCGACACGGTAACGGATAAGCAGATGAAAATGGATGGATGGAACATTAGCTGCATGCATAACTATCTCTATCTAGGCTTAATTTTCTTTCGCTAATTGATGCTATATATATACGCTTTCTGATTCAAGGGCCACTATTTTCCTAAAATTGAACGGGGGGTCGGGTTAGGAGCAGATAGATGGAGCGTCCGTGTGAACTAAGATAAATGACACGTAAAATTTGATTTTATCATTTTATATGCTATCTATTGGAGAAACATGGGTATTGCAAGGCAGAAGTAGAACTTTAAGTTTCCCCATGCCTGGTCTAGATCAATGGCTTTCCTTTGCTTGTTAATAGCAGATCCAGCAGGAGAAATTGTAATCTGACGTTTTTCGGACATTGTGAGGAGCTGAAATGATTCCACATTGTAAATACTTTGCAAATTAAACAGAACACGAGAGGGTTATAACTCAGTGGGTGAGTTGGTGAGACAGGAGATGCTGCCGCCGCCTGTTGTGCTAAATCAGGCGTGGGCAAACTTTTGGACTCGCGGGCCAAAATTTGTCCTAAAAATTTGACAGTGGGGCCGGG